CGTCAGTTTTATTTATTACATGCATGAAAAGTGGATTGGCCTTAACTAATCCTTAGCGCTTAAGCTTTGCCTGTTTTTGCTTGCCACGATAAGCAAAAATACATCAGTTATCATCTCTCTAATTTATTTACTCGTCTCTATCTTCCACTTCACTAGTTCACTTCATGGACACTTCAAAATCACTTGTAGTGGAGAAGTGGTGCTTTTTCCCCCTTGGTTTAATCACACTGTGTAGAAAAGACCATGATATGATTTTGTATTTTTGATTCTGTGATAGTTCAAGAAAGTATTACTCGTCAGCTTTGTATTTACGAAAGATGATCTACACAAAATCACTGTCTTAATTTCACATACCTAGACTCGTTGATATTTCATTATTATGATGGCCAATTACTTTGGATAAATATTGTTTGAATAACGATAAACCACTATTTCCACCATTATTTGATGATTCATTTGTTGTTTCCGTTAATGGTGATGATGTTACCTTTTCTCTTGGTGTCACATTGATATTGTAATGTTTGGCAGTCTCATTGGAATTGTTATCATTCATACTACCACCATTTTTCTCTTGCTGTTTATCATGAAAATAATTTTCAATTCTTTGTTGAATTTTTTTATCTTTATCTTCCGTAATTAACGTTTTTAAATAAGTTTGTAATTCAATTTCACAATCAATACGTTTATTTTCAAGTAGAAGAAAGCGTTTTTTTTGTGCAATGCGTAATAGACGATTAATTTCATCACCAAAATTTTTATTTTGTATTTTAGATAAATCTAATGAATATTTAAAATAATAGATGGCCTCATCGTACCGTTGTTGTTCCAAATAATATTGACCGAGGTAACAATTAGCCTTGATATATGTCGAATCAAGATCCAAAGCGTGTCGAGAGTCAAGATATACTTTATCCCATTGTTTTAATTTAATGTAACATAATGCACGATTTACATAATAAATAGCTTTTTCACTTTGTTGTATAGCCGAATTATAGCACTGAATGGCGTCATTATACTTCTTTTGTAAAAAATGTTTATTACCTATGAAAACAGAAAAAGAAAGTTGAAAGTTTTCTTGAAAAACTATTTGTAACTAGATGAATTTGTACACGGCTAAGAATTCGACATAATTTGATAGAGAAACACGTGAAAAGTAAGTTTCATTTAAAAAAACTCCTGTTTCAAAATTCACTATTTGTAACTCGTTTTTGATATAATTATTTTATGATACTGTAGACACCGTTCTCACCTTTTTCTTTGACTGAGTCGCTCTTTTCCGCTGTCATTCGGCTGATTTTCAATTCATAGTAATGATGTTATAATATAGAAAAATTAAAATTGGATTTTGGTTTTGTCTATCTACAATAAAAGAGTTTATAATAAAATCTCTTCTATCAATAAGGTTACTTCTATTAGCAAAAAAAGAATCCGCTCTTTCTGAGTATGAACGTTCGCTCTGGCGAAGAGTTCACAAAATATAGCGGATATTTCAAACATGAAATAATACTGTCTTTTCTTAAAATAAAACAAAATTTCACTTATAAAAAAAAATAAAAATAGACTAACATCCAGTTAACAAAAAATAAATAAATATTTGTTTTCACTATACAAAAAAAGAAATCGTAACATAGACAAAATAAAAGCGATGATGCTTAAAAATCTAAAAAGAAGTAGCATTTACATTAAAAACTGTTCAATGTGAGCAATCTGTCATAGCATTAAACATTTTTATGGAATATTTGTTTATTTGATGAGATGTATTTTGTACTGTAGCAAAAAAAAGTGTCATGGTGGACAGCGAAAGAAGTGATTTTTTTGAGCAAAAATCTATTTGAAACTAAGATCTATATTCACAGAGATTCGACAACATATTTGTTCAGTTATCAGCATATATTATTTGATGCTAATTTTCCAATTGTTAGCGAATGTTCAATCTCTTTCAGCTCATCTTGATGTCGACTTAATTTGAACGATACTAACCGTCGATAAAAATGTAGGGAAAATACACAAAATATAATAATAATAGGAATAATCACAATTGTTGTGGCGATGGCAGCTGGACGAGTGACGAAAAAAAATTTTACCCAACATACAAGTGCAATTTCCACAAGAAATAAAAATATTCCTAAAATACGTGTACAGATATAGTCATAGATAAATAGGAGAGATAGATAAAAATGTGTACCTAGACCGGTACTTAATATCCAAGCAAGTTCAATATAAACATGCATTGTTTCATGCGATGATTCTTCGTTACCAACAATAATGTCCGCTTCTAGTTGTGGTAGTATACAAGTGCTTATCATTAATGCTAAAAGATGGACACCAACTAATAAACATGTTACAATTGAATAAACAATCAATAATGGATTTGATACACTTGATTTTGAATTTTTATGATCATCCAACGAGACTTCTACCATGGCCACCTTGTATAAGCAAAGAAAAAAATTAGTCATTAGTTCATTATGTATATATGTAGAAAATATCAACGTATAATACTACTGACCACTAACCATTGCAAAACCAGAGAGTAATGCTGATGTTCTACTAACAGCCTTTAATTTTGCTTTACTGAATAGTAAACGGCGACGTTTTAATGGAGTCATCTACAAAAACAACACATCGATCAAGAATTGAAATTATATGACTGAATTCTATGTAAAGGATAGCGTATATTTCCTATCTTCAATAGAGATCTGCGTGTGTGTCCATAGATACCCGTGAGTATAGGCAAAAAGCTTTAGTGATGGGTATGGGCATGGGTTTTTTAATTCTTTCCGATGGATATAGTTTCTTTCGAAGAATATCAGCACCCGTCAGAGTTTTCTGTTTTGTAGACTACCAGCAAAAAGTTTCTTAAGACTAAGACTGTTTTATTCACGAAAAGTGTGAGTCATCAAAGGTCACCGACCTGTAATAACAATGACTCAAGCCAAGCAACATCAAAAGAGTAAAAAAAGAACAGAATAAACAAGACAACTAAC